GCCACCGTGATTGTGGTATTGTCTATCTTGCTGCTTGTGAGCTCAATCTCCTGGGCATAGACTAGATCGATCGCTTGCATCTTTCAACAATGTCAATCGACAACTTATGCATATCAAAACCAACTCAAAACTTGAGAGCGTCTGGGGCGAGTAACGCAGTCGATGCCGAGATTCTACGACTACAACAGAAATATGAAGACGTTTTCAGCGAGGGTCGTGGATGTTGCTCAAAAGCAAAAGCGGTGCTTCATCTGCGCCCGGAAATCCAACCAGTTTTCAGACCTAAAAGGCCACTACCATACGCGGTTCTACCAATTCTTGATACTGAACTCAAACTCCTTGAAGACGCCGAAGCCCTGAAACCGGTGAGTTACCCCTCATGCGCTGCACCAATCGTGGTTGTCAAAAAGCCCAAGGGTGCCGTACTGTACAGGTTTGAATGATGCCTTGGACAGTCATCACTATCCATTGCCGTTACCGGATGATATTTTCGCCAAGATGAACGGCAGCGCCTGTTTCGCAAAGCTGGATCTTTTAGAAGCCCACCTGCAGGTTGAAGTCGCAGAGGAATCCGGACACCTTCTGACGATCAATACGCACCGTGGCCTATTCCAGTACACTCGATTGCCATTCGGAGTTAAAAACTGCACCATCCATCTTCCAGCAGATTATGAACACAATGTTGTGTGATCTGACCAGATTTGCCGCAAACCTTGACGATATCACCGTCGTTGGGGCCACAAAAGAAAATCCTGTCCCGAGTGCATGCTGTCCTTTAGCGGATAAATGACTACGGCCTCTGATTAAAGAAAGAAAAATGGGAGTTCCTCTCGACAAAAACGGCCGTCGACCCGACCCGAATAATATCGACCCAATTGTGAGAATGCCCCCACCATGAGTGTTGCTGGACTCAAGTCCTTTTTGGCGTTGATTAGCTACTACAGCACCTTCCTGCCAATTATGCACCGCTCGCGCGAACCTTTCAACCAGCTTTTCACCAAAGGATGTCGGTGGGATTGGTCACGCGACTGTCAGCTTGTCTGTCTTTCAGTGAAGGGCTGCTGCACTCTGAACTTCTGCTCACGCACTGCAACCCTCAACTGCTTATTGTTCTCACAACGGACGCACCGAACCGTGAAGTCGGTGCAGCTATTGCTCACACATTCCCCTATGGCACGCAAAAGGCGATCGCACGTGCCGCAAGGTCGCTGGCTCCAGGTGAACGGAATTACAGTCAAATTGAAAGAGAAGCGCTAGTCATCATTTTTGGGGTGA